AACACTCAGCCAAGGACTGCAACATGCATTGTATCCTCTGTTCTCTTTGATAAATATTATACTACTATCCGCTGCAAATTAATAACTTCCTCCTAAACCGAACGAGGAATACCTTCTCAAAATATTCGTCTGTGCCTAAGAACAAATCCTTCCAAATCAAACCCGACAAATCAAAAACTTTTACTTTCAATTTTTCCTACACTCTACGGTCACACGTATTTCGTAACATATTTTCACATGCATTCATTCCAGGTAAATAAAAATGCTAAAAACTCTGCTAAATTTGTTTTACTCTGAAGTTTGCGTTGTCGGAATTTCTTGTGTCTGTAAAATGGTGATTGACTGCGGAATTCTTCCCCATTACCGGGTTGCTTGCAATGTTCATCATGTTTTTGGATATGCGGATTTCTTTCCGTTGGACCTGGAATGAACTTTTCATAGATTAATACTTTATTGAGTTAAACGAAGTGAACAATTTGTTCCACTTCATGGTCATAGATATTTCGTGACATATTCCCATGTGCATTCATTTCAGGTAGATAAAAGTGTGAAAACCCTGCTAAATTTTTACTTTGAGGTTTGCGTTTACAGGACTTCTTGTGCATGGAAAGTGATGACGAAATGTGGAATTCTTTCCCACAACCGGTATGTTTGCATTGATAGCGAAATGGTTTATCGTGCATTTGGAAATGTTCGTTATATTTGATTTTGCCCTGCATGGTCGCATTACAGTCAACATGTGGACACTCATACTTTTCCATATCTAAAAATGAACTGCTGTGACATTTCTATCTGCAGTTAGTTTTCCTATCACTTCAATTAATTAATTGATTCGATTTGAAAACTGATTATGAAGGTATCAGTGCCATAAAACAAACTTCACTTTCCAATTAATTTAGAATACTTGAAACTATTCATTTTTTTTGTGTATATATTTGCGAAAGAATCTAAGTTTTAATGTACTGATAAACTTTGACCTTGGTGGTTTCGTGTATCCAAAGTATGCCCCAACTTGAGAATCTCATTCTATTGGGATTAGAATGAGCATTTTTCAGATAACAGCTCATTGAGCCAAACGAAGTGGGTGGTTAGTGGCCATTTGGTTTTCGTGGATCAAATGATGTACTTTTTTTTCATACCTCTTCCCTTGTGTTAAAAAACCGATGAAAACGTAGAAGAGAATGCAATAGAATATTCGCTTCTCTATGGACATTTTTCAGTTTTTTGATGCATCAGTGATAACATTATTGTCATCATTGTCAACATCATTTAAATTCATCGGACTGTAAAGACGCTAATTGCTTGAATTTTGTCACTCCATCCATTATCACATCAGTAACTGCCAAACACCAACTGCGATAAACGACAAGCAGTTACCTATTCAGGTTAGAAAAATACTGCAGTAGGAATTACCACTTTTGGTTTTTGAATTGCCACTTCACTATCTTAAATGTTTCGCAACACATTTTCATGTGAACAAACACGTTGGAAACTTCCGGAAAGTATATGCGAAACTAACCCGTAATTCCGTGTTTTAGTCGCTTGTGTTGCTGCAGTGTAGTTGTATAAGAAAAGGAGCTGTTACAAATTTCACATTGAGATTTAGGTTGATGCACATCTTCATGGTGTTGAAATCGCTTTGGGGAATAGAATGTCTTGCCACATTCGGGACAAGTGAAGCTATATTTCTTGTCCATATCAAGATGTTTTAAATATTCCTTCCTCGTCTGCACAGTCACATTACAAAAACGACATTTAATCCTCATCTGCCCAACTGGAAAACTTATATGACGCTTGTGTTTGCAAATATATTATTTTTGCAAATATATTATGTCATTATATAATGTTTTATTACTTGTTCTCATGTCCACGAGTATTTCCTCATCTACTGTTACATGTAATCGTATCTGAAGCAACTAGTATCAAATCCACGTTGTTATGATTGCTAAGGTTATCCCGAATGATCGTGTTGATTTAATGAGCTTTGTAATCGTAACATGTTTTACCGAAGTATGCCTTAACTGCGAATCATCCGTTGGGCATTGAATGAACATTTCTTAGATATCACTTTATTGTACCAAAGGAAGAAGCAGCACGGTTACTGATATCTCGTAACACATTTTTCACGTCCTTTCACATCAGGTAGATAAATAAATGCTAAAAACTCTGCTGAATTTGGAAAACTGAGGAGCTCTGCACGAATATTCCTTTTGTCTTCTCAGTGACTGCTTAAAAATGAAGAAGTTCTTACTTTGAGATTTGTGTTTACAGTATTTCTTGTGCATGGAAAGTGATGACGAAATGTGGAATTCTTTCCCACAACCGGTATGTTTGCATTGATAGCGAAATGGTTTATCGTGCGTTTGGAAATGTTCGTTATATTCGATTTTGCCCTGCATGGTCGCATTACAGTTAACATGTGGGCACTCATACTTTTTCATATCTAAAAATGAATTGCTGTGACATTTCTATCTGCAATTAGTTTTCCTACTATTTCATTTGGCAATTCATTGATTCGATTTGAAAACTGATCATGAAGATGTCAATGCCATCCATAAAACAAACTTCACATTCCAGTTAATTTAGAACACGCAAAACTATTTATTTTTCTTGTATATATTTGCGGCAGAATCTAAGTCTTACATCTGATGGATGGTTACATGTGATGGAATCTCGTACGACGGATAGCTGTGAATTTTTTGGTGTGGACGGGAACAGTTTCGATCTTAAACTAATTGCCACTTGTATTTTCAATCTCATGCAATTGAGTAAAGGATAAACTGAAGGAATTAAAACGGTGTTTCGTCACATAATTCGTTACTGTTTGTTCCCGATAACTGCCCATTAGTATTTCCTCATTCACTGTTATATGTGCCCATATCCAAGTTGTTGTGGATGCTCAAGTTTTCTGAGAAATACCCATTGCCCGAGTGATTTTGTTAACCTAATGAACTTTGACCTTGTTTTTTGATCTATCAGTTATAACATTGTTGTCACCATTGTCAACATCATTTAAATTCATCGGATTGTAAAGACGCTAATTGCTTGAATTCTGTCACTCTGTTTCATCAGTAACTGCCAAATACCAACTGCGGCAAATAACAAGCAGCTATCTAGTGTGGTTAATAAAATACTGCAGTGAGCATCAAATTATGAATTCTACATATCTATTATTAGAGCAAATATCTATTATTATATATTATTAAAGCAATAAGCTCATTCTCATGTTGCCTCTAATGGAAAAATGTATGATGAGGGGTAATTCTGAATTTTTTCGCTGCAAGGAGATCAGCTTCGGATTTGGGATTCTTTTAGTTTATATTTTCAACTTTATCCAATTGGGTAAAAGCATAAACTGAAAGGATTAAAACGATATGCCATTATATAATGCTTTACTACTTGTTTTCGGTATTTATCCATTACCATTTCCCCATCTACTGTTATGTGTACATGTATCTGAGGCAACTACTGTTAAATCTGCTTTCCCACGGACATTGAAGTTTTCTAAGAAATACTCTTTGCTCGAATGATTTTGTTAACTTGATAAACTTTTTGATCGTTTGATGTGTTTACCGAAGTATGGCCTAACTGAGGATCTTCCGTTGGACATGGAATGAACATTTCTTACCTGGAGTGTTCTGAACTGAAGCGGTGTATAGCAGAAAATTGAACCAAAAGACGTATGCCATTGATGTAGTGAAGAACAAGGCGAAGTAAAGTACAGAATATTTGAAATGGCAAAAAAGCTCGAATGGAAGCTTTTTATTTCAGATTGGTTGGAATTAAACGACCAAAGTTTCAAACATGTGTTTCACATTATTTTTTATATTCCTCGCTCTTCCATTATCATTTTCCGATCTTTGAGC